TTTTTGTATTTTTAGTAGAGACGGGGTTTCACCTTGTTGACCAGGATGGTCTCGATCTCTTGACCTCATGATCCACCCGCCTCAGCCTCACAAAGTGCTGGGATTGTAGGCGTGAGCCACCGCGCCTGGCTTTTTTTTTTTTTTACATAGTCAGCAACATTAGGGAGGAGAAAAGAGTCTTAAAAGACATGTTAAAGCCAACATAAGTGCAAGAGAAAACTCTCATGATAAGGGATAGTAAAAAACTATGAAGAAACCCAAAGAAGTGGTTTCTGTGAAGTCAGGATTGTGGGTACTTTAAGCAGGAGGAAGGTCACTGTATTTGAGACAGGACAAAAGGGAAGTTTCTGTAGTGGCTGGAAAACAGTTCTACTATTTTTTTTTCCCTTCGGAGATACAGTCATGCTCTCTTGCCTAGGCTGGAATGCAGTGGCACCATCGTAGCTCACTGCAGCCTCAAATTCGTGGGCTCAAGTGATCCTCCCCCCTCAGCCTCCCAAGTAGCTGGAACTACAGCTACGTGTCACCACTCAGCTAATTGTTGGAATTTTTTTATTTTTTTGGTAGAGGCAGTGTCTTGCTATGTTGCTCAGGCTGGTCTTGAATTACTGGCCTTAAGCGATTCTCCCACCTCAGCATCCCAACGTGCTGGGATTCTAGGTATAAGCCACCATGGCCAGTCTACTTCTTGACCTTGAGTGGCACTTACAATTGTAAGCTCTCCTTATAATTCACAAAGCTATGTATTATAATTAACAACTTTTATTTATAATTCTCTCCTTAGTCCGGGTGCAGGAGCTCATGCCTAGAATCCTAACACTGACACAGGAGCCCAGGAGTTCAAGGCTGCAAATGAGCTATGATCGTGCCACCAGCCTCCAGCTGGAGGCGACAGAGTGAGTATCTTATCTCCAAAAAATACTACTACCTCTAATAGTAATAATAATAATTCTCTCCTTACAGTTCACGAGTTTTTTTTGTGTTTTGTTTCTTTGGTTTTATATGGAGTCTCTCTGTTGCCCAGGCTGGAGTGCAGTGGCGCTATCTTGGCTCACTGCAACTTCCACCTCTCAAGTTCAAGCGATTCTCCTGCCTCACCCTCCCAAGTAGCTGGGACTACAGGCACACCATCACGCCCAGCTAATTTTTGTATTTTTGAGACAAAGTCTTGCTCCGTCTCCAGGCACCAGGCTGGAGTGCAATGGCACAATCTTGGCTCACTGCAACCTCCGCCTACTGGGTTGAAGCAATTCTCCTGCCTCAGCCTCCCAAGTAGCTGGAACTACAGGCACACCACCACATCCAGCTAATTTTTTGTATTTTTAGTAGAGATCGGGTTTCACCATGTGGGCAAGAATGGTCTCGATCTCTTGACCTTGTGATCCGCCCAACTCAGCCTCCCAAAATGCTGGGATTACAGGCGTGAGCCACTGTGCCTGGCCTTGTATTTTTAGTAGAGACATGGTTTTGCCATGTTGGCCAGGCTGGTCTCGAACTCCTGACTTCAGGTGATCTGCCCACCACAGCCTCCCAAAGTGCTGGGATTACAGGTGTGAGCCACCGCACCAGCCAGTTCACATGTTTTGTGTGGGGTTTTTATTTGTATATGTCTTACCATACAATTAAAAAATTATTTCAAAACCAAATTCTCTAATCATTTCTTTCCCAGGAAGTCCTTCATGGACATAAAACTGAAGTAAATGCATTGGATGGAACTGGAATCAAGAGGGACTCCTGGATTTACATAACAGGGCAAGGCAAGATGACAAAAAATGTCACAAGGCCATGCATAGCTTATAATGAACAACTAACAAATTCCTCCAATGTGTTGCAAGGATAGAATACTTTGTAAGAGGATCAGGAAGGGCTTTCCAGAGAAGGCAGGATGGGAGTCAAACAATTTTTATTTTTTCTTCTTGAGAGAGAGGTTTTTTTTTTTAAGACGGGGTTTCACCATGTTGGTCAGGCTGGTCTTGAACTCCCGACCTCAGGTGATCCACCCGCCTTTGCCTCCAAAGTGCTTGGATTACAGGCGTGAGCCACTGCACCTGGCTGAGAGTTTTTGCTTGTTGCCCAGGCTGGAGAGTAATGGTGAGATCTCAGCTCACCACAACCTCCACCTCCAGGCTTCAAGTGATTTTCCTGCCCTACCCTCCCAAGTAGCTGGGATTACAGGCATGTGTTACCATGCCTGGATAATTTTGTATTTTTAGTAAAGATGGGGTTTCTCCGTGTTGGTCAGGCTGGTCTCAAACTCCTGACCTCACGTGATCCGCCTGCCTCAGACTCCCAAACTGCTGGGATTACAGATGTGAGCCACTGAGCCTGGCTCAAACCTTTTTTTTTGAGATAGTGCCTCGATCTGTCATTCAGGCAGGGGTGCAGTGACGCGATCTTGGCTTGCTCCAACCTCTGCCTCTCAGGTTCAAGCAATTTTCATGCCTCAGCCTCTTGAGTAGCTGGGATTCGAGGCGCCTGCTACCACATCCAGCTAATTTTTCCATTTTTAGTAGAGACGGGGTTTTGCCATGTTGCCCAGGCTGGCCTTGAACTCCTGACCTCTATGATCTGCCTGCCTCGGCCTCCCAAAGTGCTGGGATTACAGGCGTGAGCCACCGTGCCCGGCCAGGAGCCAGATCTTGAGTTAGGGTTTGGATACTTGAAATAGGCATGTTGTACAAGCAGATGGCACTGTATACACAAAAGGGCAGAGAAAGGAAAACACAAAAAATGTCTCCAAGGAATGTTCTTTCCTCCACTGGTTAACTTCTACTTATCCTTCATGTCAAACATTACCTGCTCAGAGAACCTTGCCTGTGTCTCCCAGGAAAGGCCAGGCTCTTACCACAGTTGTAACCCAATGGTGAGTTGTGATCTCGGTCATTTAGCATCTCCCCCAGAAGGCAGGGGCCGGGATTGCCCGAGTCATATCATGTCTCCACTGCTTAGTCTTAAACTTTGCGTCGTAGACGCTCGGTAAAAATTGATGAAAACGTGCGCGTGCATCTATCAGCTGGAATAGAGGATTCTGCAGGACAACATATTTTTTTAAGACAGGGTCTCACTGGGTCACCCAGGGTAGGTTCCAGCAGTAGTCATGGCTCACTGCAGCCTGGACCGCCTGGGCTCAAATCATTTTCCCACCTGAGCCTCCCGGGTAGCTGGGACTACAGATGTGTGTCACCATGCCAGATAACTTAAAAATCTTTTTTTTTTTTTTGGTAACAGAGTCGAACTCTGGGCCTAAAGTGACTTTCCAGCCTCAGCCACCAACAGCGTTGGGATTACAAGCATGAGCCACTGCCCCCAGCCATGAGAGAGACTTAAAGTTGGAAATGTTATTGGAAGCCAAATGGTGAAGGACCTAGAATGTTCAAGTTAAATGCTTAGTACAGGGTCTCACTCTGTCACCCAGGCTGGAGTGTAGTGGTGCAATCCTGGCTCACTGCAACGTCCACCTCCTGGCTTAAGCAATCCTCCAACCTCAGCCTCCTGAGAAGCTGGGACTACAGGTGCACACCACCATGCGCAGCTAAGTTTTGGAAATTTTAAAATAGAGATAGGGTTTTGCCACTTGCCCAGGCTGATCTCAAACTCCTGAGCTCAAGTCACCCGCCCGCCTCGGCTTCTCCAAGTGCTGGGCTCACAGGTGGGAGCTAGGTTTGAGGTTTGTTCCTTCTGAGAGCTGTGTTCCAGGTCCCTCTCCTTGCTTTGCAGGTGGCTGTCTCATATGTCTCTTCACATCATCTCTCTACATGTGTCTCTGTGTCCAAATTTCCCCTTTTCATAAGGACAACAGTCATATTGGCCTAGGGCTCACCCCAATGACCTCATTTCAACTTATCAGTGTAAAAATCCCAGTCTACAAATAAGATCATATTTGAGACACTGAGGGTGAGGATTTCAACATATCTGTTTTGCAAATGGCCAGGTGCAGTGGCTCACACCTGTAATCCCAGCACTTTGGGAGGCCGAGGTGGGAGGATCACTTGAGGTCTGGAGTTCAAGGTCAGCGTGGCCAATATGGTAAAACCCATCTCTACCAAACATACAAAAATTAGCCGGCATTGCTGGTGCACACCTGTAGTCTCAGCTACTCGGAGGCTGAAGCACAAGAATTGCTTGAACCTGGAAGGTGGAGGTTGCAGTGAGCTAAGATCACATCACTGCATCCAGCCTGGGAAACAGAGCGAGACCCTGTCTCAAAAAAAAAACAAAGCAGAAATATTCTAAATTATCTGTATATTTCACATGCCTCATATTTGTATTTAATTTTTATTTTTTAAGTTTTGAGACAGGGTCTCTCTCTGTTGCCCAGGCTAGCATGCAGTGGTGGGAACACATCTCACTGCAGTCTTGATGTCCTGGGTCCAAGTGGTTCTCCTGCCTCAACCTCCCAAGTAGCTGAGACCACAGGTGCATGCCACCATAACAAGATAATGTTTTTATTTTTGTAGAGATGAAGTCTGACCACGTTTCCCAGGCTGGTCTGGAACTCCTGGCCTCAGGTGATCCTCCTATCTTGGCCTCCCAAAGCGCTGGGATCACAGGTGTGAGCCACTGCGTCCAGCCTTAACCACTTTAAGTGTACAGTCGAGTGATAATAAATATATCCAAAGTGTTGTAAACCATCACTACCATCCATTTCCATAACTCCTTTCCTCTTGTAAAACAGAAATATGTACCTATTAAACAACTCTCGCCCATCCCCTGGAAACCACCATCTTAGTGTCTCTCACTACGATTTTGACTATACTAAGTCCCTTGTCTATGTGGAATCACACAGTATTTTTTGTAACTGGCTTCTTTCTTTTTTTGAGATGGAGTTTCGCTCTTGTTACCCAGGCTGGAGTGCAATGGCGCGATCTCGGCTCACCACAACCTCCGCCTCCTGGGTTCAGGCAATTCTCCTGCCTCAGCCTCCTGAGTAGCTGAGATTACAGGTATGCGCCACCATGCCCAGCTAATTTTTTGTATTTTTAGTAGAGACGGGTTTTCACCTGTTGACCAGGATGGTCTTGATCTGTTGACCTCGTGATCCACCCGCCTCAGCCTCCCAAAGTGCTGGAATTACAGCCTCGAGCCACCGCGCCCAGCCCAGACAAGGCTTTTATTTCAGGGCTTGTGCTCCCGTGCAAGGATGCTCCAGCTGACTCTGTGAAAAAAGCCAGGAGTTTTCTATTTTTTTTTTTTTAATTAGGCAAAGTATGGGAATTGACATCAGGGTAAGGTATGCAGCCTGAGCTGGTAGCACATGACAGGTAAGGCACGCAGTCAGCATATCTGATTGCAGTGGTTCTCTCGGGTCATGGGCCACTTGGTCTGGCCAGTAACAAAAAGACTGTATATTAATTACTCAGCATTTTTTCCTTGGTTTGATATTTAGATTTCCTAAGGCTAGTTCTTGGAATATATATATGTATAAATTTTTTTTTAATTTTGAAATGGAGTCTCACTCTGTCACACAGGCTGGAGTGCAGTGGCACAATCTCAACTCACAGCAACCTCTGCCTCCCGGGTTCAAGTGATTCTTGTGCCTCAGCCTTCCAAGTAGCTGGGATTCCAGGCACATGCCACCACTAATTTTTGTATGTTTAGTAGAGACAGAATTTCACCATACTGGCAACGCTGGTCTCAAACTCCTGGCCTCAAATGATCTGCCCACCTCGGCCTCCCAAAGCGCCGGAATTACAGGTGTGAGCCACGTAACCAGCCTTTTTTAGTTATTTTTGATAGTGTAATTAGGCCGAATGCGGTGGCTCATGTCTGTAATCCCAGAACTCTGGGAGGCCAAGGCAGGCAGATCACCTGAGGTCAGAAGTTCAAGAACAAACAGCCTGATCAATGTGGGGAAATTCCATCTCTACTAAAAATAGAAAAACATTAGCCAGGCATAGTGTCAAGCATCTGTAATCCCTGATACTCGGGAGACTGAGGCAGGAGAATAGCTTGAATCCAGGAGGCAGAGGTTGCTGTGAGCTGAGATCATGCCACTGCACTCCAGCCTGGGAAACAAAGAAAGATTCCACCTCAAAAAAAAAAAAAACTCACATCTGTAACCCTAGCAATTTGGGAGGCTGAAGTGGGCAGATCACTTAAGGTCAGGAGTTAGAGACCAGCCAGGCCAATATGGTGAAACCCTGCCTCTACTAAAAATGTAAGAATTAGCTGGGCATGGTGGTCTATGCCTGTAATCCCAGCTACCTGGGAGGCTGAGGCAGAAGAGCTTGAACCTGGGAGGTGGAGGATGCAGTCAGCTGAAATCATGCCACTGCACTGCAGTGAGCGATAGAGCAAGACTGTGTCTCAAAAAAAAAAAAAGTACAATTAAATTATCACTGACTACTGTCAACCTGTTGTGCTATCATACACTAGGTCCTATTCATTCATCCTCTCTCTCTCACTATATATATATATATATATATATATATATATATATATATGAGATGGAGGTGCTGGGATTACAGGCGTGAGCCACCGTGCCCAGCTGATTTTTTATTTTTATTTTTGAGATGGAATTTAGGAATTTTGTCACCCAGGCTGGAGTGCAGTGGCACGATATCAGCTCACTGCAACCTCCGCCTTCCGGTTCAAGCAATTCTCCTGCCTCAGTCTCCCAAGTAGCTGGGACTACAGGTGCACAGTACCACACTGGGCTAATTTTTTCCTTGTGTTTTAGCAGAGATGGAGTTTCACCCTGTTGCCAGCACAAGTAACCCACCCGCCTCAGCCTCCCAAAGTGCTAGGATTACTGGTGTGGGCCACCATGCCTAGCCCATTCAATTTTTTTTTTTGGTACCCGTTAACCTCCCCACCCCACTCCACCCCCACTAACTTTCCCGGCCTCTGGTAGCCACCCTTCTACTGTCTATCTCCATGGGTTCAATTGTCTTATTTTTAGATCAGAGTAGGTTTCATGATCAGTGAAAATGCCTGAAAGAATGCTCTAGTGAGGGTGAATGGAAGCCAAGCCCCATTCCTCCTCTGTCTCATTAGCGCCGTGTAGATGCCATGTAGGTTCATGGCTTGTTCTCTCAAGATCCAGCTGGAGTGGCTGAGGACTGCACTGGAATGTAGGTATCAGAAACCTGAGGCAGTATGAGCAGCAAGCCCCAAGGCCCCACAGAGACCCTGGGCCCACCCTTTAAACAGTTCTTCCCTTGAGGCCCTAGAATTCTGAGCGTTTGCCTGGAGGGACAGTCTGGAAGATCTCCAAAATGCCTATTGGGCCAGGTGTAATGGCTCACACCTGAAATCCCAGCACTTTGGGAGGCCAAGGCAGGTGGATTACTCAAAGTCAGGAGTTCGAGACCAGCCTGGCTAACATGAAGAAAGCTTGTTTCTACTACAAATACAAAAATTAGCCAGGTGTGGTAGGGCACGCCTGTAGTTCCAGCTACTTGGGAGGCTGAGGCAGGAGAATCACTTGAACCTGTGTAAGGTACACGGATGTGTGGTGGTCAAGGAGCAGGCCAAGGCAGAGACATTCAGGCGCACATGGCTCCGCGGGACTGCTGCATAGCCACATGCCTTCACTTGTTATATGACCTGTTTGTGTAAGCTCATACTTGGCTCCAGGCTGCTACTCCGTAAAAGGTGTAACTGCCCTGCTGACATTGTGCAGGTGCTCCTGAACATGGCTCTTGTGCATACACTGGTGCCCTGAGAGGGACCGAAGCTACTGACCTCTGTAAGGGAGAATAACTGTCTGGCAGGCAGACAGAGGGGAGTCAGGACACAGCTCGGCTTGTGCCCAGAAGGAGAGAGTTAAGCTGCTAACCCTAGAGCTGGCCTTACAGGCTGGTTGTGCAGCTGTGCATGGGAGTGACCAGCTGAAGCAGCGGAGACAGAGCAAGTCAGTATGAGGGAGCTACAGATGAGAAAGATGCTGAATAAAACTACATTTTGGCCAGGCATGGTGGCTCACTCCTGTAATCCCAGCACTTTGGAAGGCTGAGGTGGGTAGATCACGAGGTCAGGAGTTCGAGACCAGCCTGACCAACACGGTGAAACCCCATCTCTACTAAAAATACGAAAATTAGCCGGGTTGTGGTGCGCGCCTGTAATCCCAGCTACTGAGGATGCTGAGGCAGGAGAATCGCTTGAACCTGGGAGGCAGAGGTTGCAGTGAGCTGAGATTGCGACACTGCACTCCAGCCTGGGTGATAGAGACTCAGTCTCAAAAAAATAAATACATTAAATAAATAAATAAAACACATATGAGAAAATTCTCCCATTTTCCTTTTCTTTGAGATGGAGTTTTGCTCTTGTTGCCCAGGCAGGAGTTCAATGGCACGACTCAGCTCACCACAACCTCTGCCTCCCGGGTTCAAGCAATTCTCCTCCCTCAGCCTCCCAAATAGCTGGGATTACAGGCGGGAGCCACATCCAGCTAATTTTGTATTTTGAATGTTGACTGGATAAACAATGAAATGAAGGCAGAAATCAAGATATCCTTCGAAACCAACAAGAACAAAGACACAACGTACCAGAATCTCTGGGACATATTTAAAGCATTGTCTAGAGGGAAATTTGTAGCAATAAATGCCCACATGAGAAACAAGGAAAGATCTAAAAATCGACACCCTATCATCAAAATAGAAAGAGCTGGAAAGCAAGTTCAAAACAACTCAAAACCTAGCAGAAGACAAGAAATAACTAAGATCAGAGCAGAACTGAAGGAAACAGAGATACAAAAAACCCTTCAAAAAAAAAAATCAGTAAATCCAGGAGCTGGTTTTCTGAAAAGATCAACAAAATAGACAGACCACTAGCCAGATTAATAAAAAAGAAGAGGGAGAAGAATCAAATAGATGCAATAAAAAACAATAAAGGGGATATCATCACAGATTCCACAGAAATACAAACCATCATCAGAGACTATTATGAACAACTCTATGCATATAAACTAGTAAAACCCTGGAAAAAATGGATAAATTCCTAGACACTTGCATGCTCCCAAGCCTAAACCAGGAAGAAGTCGAAACCCTGAATAGACCAGTAACAAGGTCTGAAGATGAGGCAGCAATTAAGAGCCTACCACCCAAAAAAAGCCCAGTTCCAGATGGGTTCACAGCCGAATTCTACCAGACACACAAAGAGGGACTGGGACCATTCCTCCTGAGACTGGGACCATTCCTCCTGAAACTATTCCAAACAATCCAAAAAGAGGGAATCCTTCCCAAATCAATTTATGAGATCAACATCATCCCTATCCCAAAACCCGGCAGAGACTCAACAAGAAAAGAAAACTTCAGGCCAATATCCATGATGAACATAGACGCAAAAATCTTCAATAAAATACTGGCAAACCGATTGCAACAGCATATCGAAAACTTTATCCATCACGATCAAGTAGGATTCATCCCGGGGATGCAAGGCTGGTTCAACATACGCAAGTCTATAAACGTAATTCACCAATAAACAGAACCAAAGACAAAAACCACATGATTATCTCAATAGATGCAGAGAATGCGTTTGACAAAATTCAACAGCCCTTTATGCTAAAAACTCTCAATAAACTAGGTATCAATGGAACGTATCTCAAAATAATAAAAGCTATTTATGACAAACCAACAGCCAATATCATACTGAATGGGCAAAAACTGGAAGCATTCCCTTTGAAATCTGGCACTAGACAAGGATGCCTTCTCTCACCACTCCTAACCAATATAGTACTGGAAGTTCTAGCCAGAGCAATCAGGCAAGAAAAAAATGGTATTCAATTAGGAAAGGAGGAAGCCAAATTGTCTCTATTTGCAGATGACATGATTGTATATCTAGAAGACCCCATCATCCCAGGCCAAAATCTCCTGAAACTGATAAGCAACTTCAGCAAAGTCTCAGGATACAAAATCAATGTGCAGAAATCACAAGCATTTCTATACACCAATAACAGACTTAAAGAGAGACAAATCAAGAATGAACTGCCATTCACAATTGCTACAAAGAGAATAAAATACCTAGGAATACAACTAACAAGGAACATAAGGGACCTCTTCAAGGAGAACTACATACCACTGCTCAAGGAAATAACGGAGGACACAAACAGATGGAAAAGCATTCCATGCTCATGGTTAGAAGAATCAATATCGTGAAAATGGCCATACTGCCCAAAGTAATTCACAGATTCAATGCTATCCCCATCAAGCTACCAATGACTTTCTTCACAGAACTGGAAAAAACCACCTTAAACTCATATGGAACCAAAAGAGAGCCCGCATAGCCAAGACAATCCTAAGCAAAAAGAACAAATCCACAGTCCTCCTTGCTGTAAATGTGGTGACTTCGGAGGCTCCAGCTCAGTGGGCAGGCTGGTTGGAGATTATCCGGGAACCCCTGGCACCTGGCTGTCTCAGTCCCCCCTCTAATGAAGTGCATCTAACTGCCACTAGAAGAAGGATCAAGCTGTTACCATGGGACCCAAAGACCTCACCTTTTATCACCTTATTAGACTATCGGGTGTAACCAGAAACCTTCAGTGCTGGTGAACTCAGCTGCATAACTGGGGATGACACGGAAAGGGACAATCAGCTGAGAGATTTCCAGCCGTGCTGGAAACAAGCACAGGTAACAGAAGTAAAAATGGGCAAGTGAAATTACCTCAAACGGAAACGTTTCTGCATACAAAGGAAACAACCAACAGAATAAAGAGAGACCTAAAAGTGGAGAAAATATTCGCAAGCCTCCTTAGATCTGACGAGGAACTCCCACCATCTCAAAATAAAGAAAAAACAAGTAACCTAATTCAAACGTGGACTTCAATAGAGATTTCAAAGACATAAAAATGGCCAACAGGTGTATGAAAAAAATGTTCAACATCGCTCATAACCAAGAAAATGCAAACAAAGCCATAATGATATCACCTTGCATCACTTAGTAAGACTGTTGTCAAAAAACAGAAGATAAAAAGTATTGGCGAGGCTGTGAAGGGAAACTTCGTGCACCACCATTGCTCGGAATATAAAATAATGCATACTCTAAGAAAAACAGTATGGAAATTCCTCAAAAAATTAACAGTGGAAAACCATATACTCTTATGGTACCACTGCTGGGTATATATCCACAAAAATTTAAATAAGTATTCAAAAAGACATCAGCAGTCACCTGTCACTGCAGCACTATTCACAATAGCCAATTTAGTGACACCACCTAATGTTCACTGACAGGTGGATTAATAGGTATGATGTCATATCTACATACAATTATATGATTAGTCAGTCGTTAAGGAGGAGGAAATTCTGCCATTTGCAATGACCTGGATGAACCTTGAGAAGATTATTCTTAGTAAAATAAGCCAGTGACAGAAGAATAAATATTGCATGATCCCATTTATAAGGTTAAAAAAAATTGTTGCTGAAATTATTTATTCTGTTAATATTTAATATACATAATAGATACACTGGGAGCAAAAGTAGCCATCTCATTAAAGGATATATTTTAAGTAACATTATACTTTTTGTTAAATAATAATTTATTGACATTTTATAACATTTATTATTTTTATTGGTTGTATACCAGTAATAATTTTAAGATAACTCAATGTAGACATTGGCTTAGGCAAGGATTTCAAGCAAGAACCCAAAAGCAAATGTCATAAAAACAAAGATAAATGACTGGGACCTAATTAAACTAAACAGCTTTTGCACAGCCAAAGGAGGAGTCAGCAGAGTAAACAGACAACCCACAGAATGAGAGAAAACATTCACAATCCATACATCTGACAAAGATTTAATATCCAGAATGCACAACAAACTCCAACAAATCAGCAAGAAAGAAACAATCCCATCAGAAAGTGGGCCAAGGACATGAATAAACAATTCTCAGAAGAAGGTACACTAATGGCCAACAGACATGAAAAAACACTCAACATCACTAATGACCAAGAAAATGCAAATCAAAAGCACAATGTGTTCATATCTTACTGCCGCAAGAATGGCCGTAATCAAAAAAGCAACAGTGGAACACTTCTACACTGCCGGTGGGAACGTAAACTAGTACAGCCACTATGGAAAACCGTGCAGAGATTCCTTAAAGAAACTAAAACCACCGTTTGATCCAGCAATCCCACTACTGCATATCTACTTAGAGGAAAAGAAAAAGATACTTGCATACACATTGCATAGCAGCACAATTCACAACTGCCGAATCATGGAACCAACCAACCCAAATGCCTATCAATCAACTAATGGATAAAGAAACCATCATATATCACAATGGGATACTACATAGCCATAAAAAGGAATGCATTTATGGCATTTGCCATAAACCTGGATGAGATAGGAGACTATTATTCTAAGTGAAGTAACTCAGGAATGGAAAATTAAGTATTATATGTTCTCACTGACACGTGGGAGCTAAGCTTTGAGGAAACAAAAGCATAAGAATGAAACAATGGACTTCGGGGACTTGGGGAAAAGACTGGGAGGGTGGCAAGCGACAAAATACTGCAAATATGGTGTACAATACTTGGGTGATGGGTGCACCAAAATCTCACATATCACCATTAAAGACCTTACTCATGTAATCGAATACCACCTGTACCCCAATAACTTATAGAAAAATTGAAAAAAATTAAAAAAAAGACAAAAAAGAAAAAAAACAAAACAAAAAAAAAAGAACAAAGCTGGAAGTATCATGCTACGTGACTTCAAACTATTTTACAAGGCTACAGTTATCAAAACAGCCTGGTACTGGTACCAAAACAGAGATATAGACCAATGGAACAGAACAGAGGCCTCAGAGGCAATGCCACACATCTACAACCATCTGATCTTTGACAAACCTGACACAAATAAGCAATGGGGAAAGGATTCCCTGTTTAATAAATGGTGTTGGGAAAACTGGCTAGCCATGTGCAGAAAGCAGAAACTGGACCCCTTCCTGACACCTTACACTAAAATTAACTCCAGATGGATTAAAGACTTAAACATAAGACCTAACACCATAAAAACCCTAGAAGAAAACCTAGGTAAAACCATTCAGGACATAGGCGTAGGCAAGGACTTCATGACCAAAACACCAAAAGCATTGGCAACAAAAGCCAAAATAGACAAATAGGATCTAATTAAACTCCACAGCTTCTGAACAGCAAAAAAAAAAACAAACAAAAAACAAGCAATCATTAGAGTGAACCGGCAACCAACAGAATGGGAAAAAATTTTTGCAACCTACTCATCTGACAAAGGGCTAATATCCAGAACCTACAAAGAACTAAAACAGATTTACAAGAAAAAAACCAACAAACCCATTCAAAAGTGGGCAAAGGATATGAACAGACAATTTTCAAAAGAAGACATATATGAGGCCAACAAACATAGGAAAAAATGCTCATCATCACTGGTCATTAGAGAAATGCAAATCAAAACCACACTGGGATACCATCTCACGTCAGTTAGAATGGCGATCATTAAAAAATTTGGAGACAAGAGATGCTGGAGAGGATGTGGAGAAATAGAAACACTTTTATACTGTTGGTGGGAGCGTAAATTAGTTCAACCATTGTGGAAGACAGTGTGGCGATTCCTCAAGGGCCTAGAAATAGAAATTCCATTTGACACAGCAATCCTATTACTGGGTATATATCCAAAGAATTATAAATCATTCTATTATAAAGACACACACACATATGTTCACTGTGGCACCGTTTACAATAGCAAAGACCTGGAACCAACCCAAATGCCCACTGACGACAGACTGGACAAGGACAATGTGGCACATATACACTATGAAATACTGTGCAGCCATAAAAAATGATGAGTTTGTGTTCTTTATAGGGACATGGATGAATCTGGAACCCATCATTCTCAGCAAACTGACACAAGAACAGAAAATCAAACACCGCATGTTCTCACTCATAGGCATGTGTTGAACAATGAGAACATTATGGACACAGGGAGGAGAGCATCACACAATGGGGTCTGTTGGAAGGGACTAGGGGAGGTACAGCAAGGGGTAGGGAGCTGGGGAGGGGTAACATGGGAGAAATGCCTGATATAGGTGACGGGGGGATGGAGGCAATAAACGGCATTGCCATGTATGTACCTATGCAATAATCCAGCATGTTCTGCACATGTACCCCAGAACCTAAAATGCAATAAAATATATATATATTTTTTAATCTGTCTTTTTGTAGAGATGTCTTGCTATGTTGCCCAGGCTAGTCTTGAACTCCTTGGCTCAAATAATGCACTCTCTTTAGCCTCCCAAAGTGCTGGGATTACATGCATGAGCCACTGTGCCTGGCCCATTTAATCTCTAAAAGAATTAGACTTTCTCTAATCTCTTTTCTTCCAAGTCCTCCTCACCAGTGTTAACAGAAAAACCAAATTCTGTAAAATACCTTACAAAGGTTTATTCTGAGCCAATGCAAGTGGCCACAGCCTGGACAGAGTATCAAGGAGTCCTAAGCAAGTGTGATCCAAGCAGGTGGATTACAGTTCGGTTTTATATGTTTCAGGAAGGCAGGAATTACAGGCAAAGACATAATTCAATACATAGAAGGTTTGGTCCAAAGACGTGGGCTTTTTTTTCTGAGACAAGCCTTGCTCTGTCGGTTGGAGTGCAGTGGCAATCTCAGCTCACTGCAACCTTCGCCTCCTGGGTTCAAGTGATTCTCCTGCCTCAGCCTCTTGAGTAGCTGGGACTACAGGCATGAACCACCATGCCCGACTAATTTTTGTATTTGTAGTAGAGACAAGTTTTCACTATGTTGGCCAAAATGGTCTCAATCTCTTGACCTTGTGATCCGCCTGCCTCAGCCTCCCAAAGTACTGGGATTACAGGCGTGAGTCACCACATCCAGCCCTTTTTTTTTGAGACAGTCTTGCTTTGTTGCCCAGGCTGGAGTGCAATGGTGCCATCTCAGCTCACTGCAGGTTCAAGTGATTCTCCTGTCTTCCTGAATAGCTGGGATTACAGGTGCCCGCCACCACGCCCAGATAACTCTTGTATTTTTTTTGTTTCAGTAGAGACGAGGTTTCACCATGCTGGCCAGGCTGGTCTCAAACTCCTGACCACAGGTGATCTGCCCACTTCAGCCTCCCAAAGTGCTGAGATTACAGGCATGAGCCACCGTGCCCAGCTGTTTTGTTGTCATTGTTGTTTGAGACAGAGTTTCACTCTTGTTGCCCAGGCTGGAGTGCAATGGTGCAACCTTGGCTCATTGCAACCTCCGCTTCCCTGGTCCAGGCAATTCACCTGCCTCAGCCTCCTGAGTAGCAGGGATTACAGGCACATACCACAATGCCCAGTTCATTGTGTATTTTTAGTAAACATGGGGTTTCTCCATGTTGGTTAGGCTGGTCTGGAACTCCCAACCTCTGGTGATCCACCACCTTGGCCTCCCAAAGTGCTGGGATTACAGGCGTGAGCCACCACACTGCGCCCTTTGTTTTTTCTTGAGACACAGTCTTGCTCTGTCACTCAGGCTGGAGTGCAGGGCATGATCCATCTCGGCTCACTGCACCTTCACCAGGGCTCAAGCAATTCTCCCATGTCAGCATCCTGAGTAGCTGGTTATGACAGGTACGTTCCACCACACTGGACTAAATTTTTTGGTTTGTTCCTTTTGTTTTTGAGACAGAGTCTCGCTCTGTCGCCCAGGATGAAGTCCAGTGGGTGATCCTGATTCACTCCAATCTCCACCTCCTAGGTTCAAACGATTCTCCCACCTCAGACTCCCCAGTACTTGGGATCACAGGCACCCAGCACTGTGCTCAGCTAATTTTTTTGTATTTTTGTAGAGACGGGGTTTCGAGCTCCTGACCTCAGGGTCTCCAAAAGTGCTGGGTTACAGGTGTGAGCCACCACACCTGGCCTATAATTTAGTATCTGATGGCCACAAAATGTCTGTTTTGCCAGTCTGTGATGTCTATTTTAACACGAATCCTGGTCAGTTGTGCCTAAACTTCAACAGGGAGTTGGTATAATGAAGCGTGTTGGAGTTCCCTTAGCATGACGCCTGGGAACTCAAGTTTTTAAGGTTACTCTCTGGGGTTTCATTGGCTAAAAGGGGGTCTGTCTGGCTGGTGGGAAACAGGATTTTATTTTTAGTCTGTACCCAAATTGCCCTTAATGCTCCATTCATAGCAATCTAGGTCTTTTCCAGAATTCGCTTTATTTTTTATTTTATTTTTTTTTATTATTCATTTATTTTTTAGATGGAGTCTTGCTCTGTCGCCCAGGCTGGAGTGCAGTGGCATGATCTCAGCTCACCGCAACCTCTGCCTCCCAGGTTCAAGTGATTCTCCTGCCACGGCCTCCTGAGTAGCTGGGGCTACAGGCACCTGCCACCATGTCCAGCTAATTTTTGTACTTTTAGTAGAGATGGGGTCTCATCATGTTGGCCAGGATGATCTCAGTCTCTTGAGCTCGTGATCCACCCGCCTCAGCCTCCCAAAGTGCTGGGATTACAGGCGTGAGCCACCGACCCCCAGCCATTTTTTTTTTAATTTTTAGTTTTTGTGGGTAGATAGTAGGTGTATATATTTATGGGATACTTTGATATAGGCATGCAATGCGTAACAATCACATTAAGGTAAAGGGGGTATCCATCCCTCAAACATTTATTCTTTGCGTTACAAACAATTCAATTATGCTCTTTAAAGTTATTTTTAAATAGGGACTGGGCACGGTAGCTCATACCTGTAATCTTAGCACTTTGGGAGGCCAAGGCAAGCCTACTGCTTGAGTTCAGGAGCTTGAGACCTGCTTGGGCAATGAGGTTAAGCCGCCGTCTCTACAAAATTAACCTGGTGTGGTGGTGCATACCTGCGGTTCCAGCTACTCAGGAGGTTGAGGTGGGAGGTCTGCTTGAGCCCAGGAAGTCAAGGCTGCCGTGAGCTGAGACTGCACCACTGCACTCCAACCTAGATGACAGAATGAGATCTTGTATCAAAAAAAAGATGAAAAGTACAATAAATCATTGCTGACTGTAGTTACCCTGTTGTGCTATCAAACACTCGATCTTCTTCCTTCTACGTTATGTCCATTAGCCATCCCTACCCACTCCCTCTACCCTTCCTAGCCTCTGGTAACCATTCTTCTCTCTACCTCCATGAATTGTTAAGTTGTTTTGTTTTGTTTTGTTTTTTGAGACAGAATCTCACTGTTACCTAGGCTAGAGTGCAGTGGCACAATCTCAGTTCACTGCAAACCTCCGCCTCCCAGGTTCAAACAATTCTCCTGCCTCTGCCTCCTGAGTAACTGGGACAGGTGCACACCACCATGCCTGCCTAATTTTTTTTGTATTTTTAGTAGAGATGGGGTTTCACCTTGTTGATGAGGCTAGTCTCGAACTGCTGACCTCGTGATCTGCCTGCAATCACCTCCTCAAAGTGCTGGGATTACAGGAGAGAGCCACTGCACCCAGTTCCAATCTGGTACTTTCAATGTTGCCTGTTAACAGATTTCAGCTGAAGCTCAGATGATACCGCTAAGATGCATGGAATTGCAATCCATTGCCTGCGGAGTGGAGAGGATGGTTCAGAGATAAGTCATCCAATTAGCACTGAAAATATGTAATCTTACAAGAAAAGGAGTGTCAGTTTAGAAAAGCTAATGTCTATGACCATTTTCTTCCCTAAAACAGCCAAGAGAAGGAATGTGGGGAATCTGGTTTTCAGCAATATTTGCAGGACCTAAGGCAACCAACCAAATGCCTAGAGCAACTACACTTTCCAAAGCCTGAATATTAAAAACGTCTTCACATGGTAATCATCTTAATATTTTAAATTCAAAAAGATGCAACCTTGCAACAGCCAGTAAATGTTAATAATTAACCAACCTCCAGTTCTTACATATTCTGTGAAAAGAGCTACCTGGTTGTGTCCTTGATGAAGGAGTAAACGATTTGCCTGTTGTCCAAATGACAATCACCTGGTCTCAACATAAAGCACCTGCCCTGGGCTGCTGTCTCACGGCAGGAAAGTGGGGTGGCTGGAAAGGCAGCCGACACTGTTTCTGCCGCCACTGCCACTGCCACTGAGCCTGGGGCGCCTGTTTTCAACTGCAGTGATCTGGTTCCTAAAATTTAGCCTTAATAGAGAGCCAGTAAAGAAAGCCCCGCCAGCAGAGAAAGGGGCCTCTAGAGCTGTTGAATGGCCAGGCTGGTTCTTTCCTTATCTCTGTTGTTCTCGAGGAAATTCCTCTAAAGTGAGCCAAGGTTAGTGGATCATTTTTCACTTAGAGCAACTCTCTGGGGCTCTAACCAGATTCCCAACAGCACTCTGAGCCCCCGCTTAGTAAGTTCCCAGGAAAGCAGATGAAACTAATTAGGACATGGCCCATCAAAGGCGACACAAGCATTTTCCCCCGCTGTGTGCAGAGACCTCCCCACAACCAGGTCGAAGGCCTTGGAGGAAATCTTTCCAGCACAGAGGGGTCCGAGGTCACTGGCCCCACCTTCAGCTCTCAGCCTGTCTTTACCACGTTTCTTATCCCCAAGGCACAAATATTTCTTTTCAGCTTATTTTTGTGATGTATCCAATTAATCATGAAAGCCAGGCCTGCTGGGATAGAGGGTAAAATCAAATAAACAATCCTCTTAAAGTCCAGGAAACAGCTGCCGGGCCTTTTAACTTCCTGAAACACCAGGGCCAGCTGTGCTCCTCTATGCTGGGTCCTCTTCATCCATTGTCCCGTCGCTGTTAGCATTCTTCTTCTGCTCAGCCTCCGGCCCTGCAGGCAGAATGCTGGTGACAGTGTGGAGAAGAGCTTCAATCTGCTCCTCTGTGAGTCGCTCTTCACTCTCTTCCACCATCTGCAGAAGGAAAGAAAACCTTCCAGGGTTACAAATGAAACTCATAGCCCTGGGTAGCCCTGCTCACCGCGTGTGCTCATGGTCTCAGCCTGGCCTCCTGACACACAGACCTCATGGCCTAGGTCCTCGTGAGTCCTCTCCATCTTCCAGATTGAAGGGTGGAGCCAACTCACATCCTGGACTGAGCCAGTGAGAAGGCTCAAAATGGGTCAGTAAAAATAGAGTTGTAGGATAGCATTTTTCTTTTCTTTTTCTCGAGATAGAGTTTCGCTGTTTGTTGCCCAGGCTGGAGTGCAGTGGTGCAATCTCAGCTCACTGCAACCTCTGCCTCCCAGGTTCAAGTGATTCTCCTGCCTCAGCCTCCCAAGTAGTTGGGATTACAGGCGTGTGCCACCATGCCCAGCTAATTTTTGTATTTTTTGTAGAGACAGGGTTTCACCATGTTGACCAGGTTGGTCTTGAACTCCTGACCTGATGATCTGCCTGCCTCAGCCTCCCAGAGTGCTGGGATTACAGGCGTTGAATCACCGCACCTGGCCTAGTATAGCATTTTTCTTTAAAGAAAAGGAAAACGCTATCCTGGGCAGCACAGTAGAACCCTATTTCTAAAAAAAAATTAGCCAGGCATGGTGGTATGTGCCAATAGTCCCAGCTACTCAGGGGGCTGAGGTAGGAGGATCACTTGAGCCCAGGAGGTCAAGCCATGCACTCCTCCAGCCTGAGTAACAGAGCAAGACCCTGTCTCCAAGGAAAAAAAAAGAAAAATGTTAACAGTTATATACACAGAAGTCAACAGATTGTATATGCACCTCTGAGAAGTGAAATGGTACTTTCTGTACTTTTATATTTCATGAGCACATCTGTAATTATTATTATTTTTTTTTTTTTGAGACGGAGTTTCGCTCTTGTTACCCAGACTGGAGTGCAATGGCACGATCTCGGGTCACCACAACCTCCGCCTTCTGGGTTCAAGCAATTCTCCTGCCTCAGCCTCCCGAGTAGCTGGGATTACAGGCGCACATCACCACGCCCAGCTAATTTTTGTATTTTTAGTAGAGACGGGGTTTCACCTTGTTGACCAGGATAGTCTCGATCTCTTGACCTCGTGATCCACCCGCCTCGGCTTCCCAAGGTGCTGGGATTACAGGCGTGAGCCACTGCGCCCGGCCCAATCTTTTTTTTTTTTGATACAGAGTCTTGCTCTGTCACCAGGCTGGAATGCAGTGACACGATCTCGGCTCACTGCAACCTCTGCCTCCTGGGTTCAAGTGATTCTCCTGCCCCAGCCTCCCTAGTAGCTGAGATTACAGGTGTGCACCACTACACCCAGATAATTTTTTGTATTTTTCTTTATTTTTTTGAAACGGAGTTTTGCTCTAATTGCCCAGGCTGGAGTGCAATGGCACAATCTCAGCTCACTGCAACCTCCGCCTCTGGGTTCAAGCAATTCTCCTGCCTCAGCCTCCCCAGTAGCTGGGCTCACAGGCACCTGCCACCACGCCTGGCTAATTTTTGTATTTTTAGTAGAGTCGCAGTTTCACCATGTTGGCCAGGCTGGTCTTGAACTCCTGACCCTGTGATCCGCCTTCCTCGTCCTCCCTCCCAAAGTGTTGGGATTACAGGCGTGAGCCACTGCACCTGGCCCATCTGTAATTTAATGCACTGTATCAACAATGTGGTTGATGATACCCACTATGTGCCAGATGGTTTGGAGCCTTCTTCTAACCCTCACTTGCAGTAGTGACAGCCCTGCAGGGAGGCCTCCCGTGTGCCTGGAGCTGCATCTTGCACTTCCCCTCCTGCATTTCCTTGAATCTTCCCAACAGTGCTGCTAAGGGGAGAACTGGAATCCCCAGCCAGGCCTGCCCAATCTAAGGCCCAAAGTCTCCCACGCTCCACACTACACCGACCATCAAAGGTTCACGTAAAACCTGGTTTCTGATGTAGTCCCAGAAATCTGAATCCAGAGATGATACCTACAGCCTGAGCTGGTTTCCTCAGCCTCACCCCTAATTCTAAACATAAAGTCATAAGCTGCCTTTTTAAAAGCACCATGTGGCTGGTCGCAGTGGCTCACACCTGTAATCCCAGCACTTTGGGAGGCCGAGAAGGGCGGATTGTGAGGTCAGAAGTTTGAGATCAGCCCGACCAACACGGTGAAACCCTGTCTCTACTAAAAATCCAAAAATTAGTTGGGCATGATGGTGTGCACCCGTAATCCCTGCTACTCAGGGGACTGAGGCTGGAGAACCACTTGAACCTGGGAGGTGGAGGTTGTTGTGAGCCAAGATCATGCCACTGCAGTCCAGCCTGGCAGTAGGGCGAGACCCCATCTAAAAAAAAAAAAAAAAAAAAAAAAAAGCAGCATGGAGGGAGCCTTGGTGGCATCAGCCATGGATCACAAACACCTTTCTCAGCTTAAGGTGTCCAGGTTCTATTTGACGGCATTTCCCACAGCAATCTCTAAAATCTGGCAACAGGGACCACAAGGAGTTCCAGAAGAAATCCTGGCATGACCACGCACAGTGGCTCACGCCTGTAATCCCAGCACTTTGGGAGGCCAAAGCAGGCGGATCACAAGGTCAGGAGTTTGAGACCAGCCTGGCCAAGATGGTGAAACTCCATCTCTACTAAGAATTAGCCAGGCATGGTGGCGGCAAGAGAATCACTTGAACCCGGGAGGTGGAAGTTGCAGTAAGCCAAGACTGCGCCATTGCACTCCAGCCTGGGTAACAGACCGAGACTTCATCTAAAAAGAAAGAAAGAAAAAGAAGTCCTGGCAGACTGAAGTAAAACAGTAAAACAAGATAACAGGACAGGCCTGAAATCCTGGAAAGGATCCCAGTCTGACCACCTCACTTTCCAGATAACAGCACAGTTCATGAAGTCATGTGACATGCCCAAGGTCACAGCACGTACTCTACTCCTGGCAAAAGCCTGGACTCTCCACTCACTTCAGCCCAAAAGTGTTTCTGCAACTAGATCATAATCCTGGGTGTCCCAGGATGGGGGAGATCCTGAGTGAATCAATGGGGGCTACTCCCCACAATGCTGTGAAATAAAATGACTATTTGCTAAAGATTCGATGGCTCAGGAAAATGTAAATTCGGAGAAAGAAACAATCTTCAAAACCCATTTTAAAATCAGACATGCAAAATTACGGTCTATAAAACGCAGTAATCTAACATGGATTGCCCCAAAAGAATGAAGCAGAAAAAGGAGGGTAACAGCCAAGATTTAATTATTTAATCCAGAGAAAAGATGATCTCCATTTGAGAAAAGAATGTGGAGAAAGAATTTTGCCAAATTCACTAATGGCAGAAGCTTTTATAAACATCCCATCCTCAGAGCTAATTACATTCAGGACCTTTCTTTCCCACCTAAGGTTCCCAGTCACAGGAAGAAAACCTAAGCTGCATTAAACTAAATGAAATATAAACAAAAAAGAAACTAGCTGGGCACGGTGGCTCACGCCTGTAATCCCAGCACTTTGGGAGGCCAAGGTGGGTGGATCACCTGAGGTCGGGAGTTCGAGACCAGCCTGACCAACATGGAGAAACCCCGTCTCTACTAAAAATACAAAATTATCCGGGCATGGTGTTGCACACCTGAATTCCCAGCTACTCAGGAGGCTGAGGCAGGAGAATCGCTTGAACCTGGAAAGTGGAGGCTGAGCTGACCCGAGATCACGCCATTGCACTCTAGCCTGGGCAACAAGAGCAAAACTCCCTCTTTCAAAAAAAAAAAGAAAAGAAAGAAAGAAAAACTTTCAGAAATAAAAAACTTAGTAGCACCTCTTGGATCACTAGTGTAAATGACAATTAATACATTATCCCTCACTCTACGCCTTCTTCCCCAAAAAGAGTGGGCCTCACCGTCACCCAGGCTGGAGCATACTGGCATGATCATCATTCACTGCAGCCTCAAACTCCTGGGCTCAAGAAATCCTCCTGCCTCAGCCCCCCAAGTAGCTGGGATCATAGCCATGTGCCACCATGTCTGGCTATTGCTTTTTGCCCCATCTCTACAAAAATATGTTGCCCAGCCTGGTCTTGAACTCCAGTGCTCAAGTGATCCTCCCACCTCAGCCTCCCAAAGTGCTGGGATTGCAGGTGTGAGCCACCACGCCCGGACCCTTCGCCTTTTCTTTCCAACAAAGGAGAAACAGCCCAAGTAAAGAAGTCAAGTTCAAAGCACGATCTCAAGGTTGTCACATACCAACCATTTCAGGTAATTCAGAATATAAGGGCAAATAAAATTTAAAACTCCAGATTATTGACAGCTAGGTTAACATAATGACAAACTTTTATTATCTCAATCCCAGGAGCACCAAACTGGGCTGCCGAACTCCAAAAATGCCAACTCCAAGTTGCCAAACGTAATGTCCTACTTTCCACAAAACGATTCAAAGATCTGATAGCAACGACGTCCACTTCAGCTATTAAATATCTGATGCAGAATACTTTACTGAACCTGGCTTTCTAAATTTCAACTTTCTCTAATGTAGAATGAAAGTAACTCCTACAGCGAGGACGAAATGAGAATACAGGTAACAGTGCTTTACAAGCAACAGTGCTCTATCTAGGTCAAGACTTCATAATCACCAAATTACTAACAGGCCTAGAGAGTAATGCTGTTCAGGACAGTGGCCCTGAGGGCTCCCAAATCATTCCAAATCAATGCACAACTGGGCATGGCAAGTCATAAGCCAGGTGGACACCTCATTTCCTCACCAAGCCTCTGAGTCAGCAGTCAAAGGGCCACAGCAAATCACAGCTCAGACGTAACTGGAGGGGTGAAACTTCAGCCTCCGAAAGACGCCTGGCTCCCAAGTAAATGCAGCAGATGTCAGATGCTGGGACTGTTTTCTGCCCCCAGGTACAATAAACGGCTCTAGGGTTAATATAAGGAACTTCTCACTCAAGTCCTTTGCACTTTCCACTGTAAGTGAAACCTGTATTTCTTTTCGTTTTTCTTTTTTTTTTTTTTATGTTTTGAGACGGAGTTTCGCTGTTGTTACCCAGGCTGGAGTGCAATGGCGCGATCTCGGCTCACCACAACCTCCACCTCCTGGGGGTTCAAGCAATTCTCCTGACTCACCTCCTGAGTAGCTGGGACTACAGGCGTGCACCACCATGCCCAGCTAATTTTTGTATTTTTAGTAGAGACGGGGTTTCACCTTGTTGACCAGGATAGTCTCGATCTCTTGACCTCGTGATCCACCCGCCTCGGCCTCCCAAAGTGCTGGGATTATAGGTGTGAGCCACCACACCCGGCCTGTTTTTCTTTTTTCTTTTTTTTGAGACGGAGTTTCGCTTTTGTTACCCAGGCTGGAGTGCAATGGCGCGATCTCGGCTCACCGCAACCTCCGCCTCCTGGGTTCAGGCAATTCTCCTGCCTCAGCCTCCTGAGTAGCCGGGATTACAGGCACGCGCCACCATGCCCAGCTAATTTTTTGTATCTTTAGTAGAGACGGGGTTTCACCATGTTGACCAGGATGGTCTCGATCTGTTGACCTCGTGATCTACCCGCCTTGGCCTCCCAAAGTGCTGGGATTACAGGCTTGAGCCACCGCGCCCGGCCTCTTTTTTTTAAAGATAGTGTCTTGCTCCGTCACCCAGACTAGAGTACAGTGACACTACCATAGCTCACTGCAGCCTTGAACTTCTGGGCTCAAGCAATCCTCCCACCTTGGCCTCCCACAGTGCTCGGATTACAGGTATGAGCCACCGTGTCCAGTCAAAACTTTCATTCCTTATTCACTCTCCAGTGAGAAGAGACACTGCTACAAACCTTGGTAAACAACTTGCTACCTTTTGGAGCCAAACTCCAAGATGAGAAGAATCTGGCTATAAAACGGTCCCACTACTGAGAAACACAGCAGTTTCTACCAGGCCTACGTACTTTGTAGAAAGGAGAAGGAAATCATCTCAAGGGATACCACACACATCTTTCTTCTCATCAAGGACAAGTACGCAGCTTGGAGGAGCAAAGTAAAGCTTCTGAATCAGAAGGACCCAATTAGCCACTCACGGGTCCACTGGGTTAAAATGGAGAGGACACTTGCTCCCTTCCAAGACTGTGGGGAGGGCATTCAAAGTGACAGACAATCACAGGCACCAGGACCAAGGACCGAGACCGCACACCCCAGGCACTCTCTCTGTTTTTGAGACAGTCTTACTCTGTCGCCCAGGCTGGAGTGCAGTGGCGTGATCTGAGCTCACTGCAACCTCTGCCTCCCAGATTCAAGCAATTCTCCTGCCTCAGCCTCCTGAGTAGCTGGGAATACAGGCACGCACCACACCCAGCTAATTTTTCAATTTTTCGTCGAGATCGGGTTTAGTCAGGCTGGTATCAAACTCCTGACCTCATGATCCATCTGCCTCAGTCTCCCAAAGTGCTGGGATTATAGGCATGAGCCACTGCGCCTGGCCCTCTTTTTTTTTTTGAGATGGGAGTCTCACTGTATCACCCACGCTGGAGTGCAGGGGTGTGATCTCGGCTCACTGCAACCTCTACCTCCTGGATTCAAGCAATTCTCCTGCCTCAGCCTTCCAAGTAGTTGGGATTACAGGTGTGTGCCACCATGCCCAGCTAATTTTTGTATTTTTAGTAGGGATGGGGTTTTCCCACGTTGGCTAGGCTGGTCTTAAATGCTTGACCTCAGGTGATCTGCCCACCTAAGCCTCCCAAAGTAATGGTATTACAGGCGTAAGCCTCCATGCCTGGCTCACCCCAGGCACTCTCAATAGCTGCGAATCTTCGCCCAAATAATGATAGAACTTCACACAGGCTCTGGCTGAGGTCACGCTAATCCTCATCTCTTCTCTCTGCCTGTCATTAAGCCATGAGTAGCATATGTTGCTGATTAAAGCTAGAGGAGAAATGACATGTGATCTTTAACCCAGAGGGAAAGGGATTTGTTTCTTGCTGTTTTGTTTTTTCTCTCCTCTAAGCTCTAAGTTGAATCTGCAACACAGCGTAAAGCATGAAAATAACCAGGACACATGAGAAAGGGGATTCTATTTAGCCCACAGAACGGTTCCCAGAGAAAGGCACCCAAGAACTGTTCTAATTTAATTTTGGGTGCATTCTGAAGGTCAGAAACAACCCTAGGAAGACAATGGACGTTTTAGTAAAAAATTAAATACCCTATGGCCTTTTAAAAAGTTTTCCCATGAGCAACTCTGAAACTCATATCTTTGACCAGTTTCTTCCATGTTTTTCTAAAGGAAATTGACAAAGAGCTCAGTATTTCTAAAACTGACTTTGGAAACCACTTTATTCTCATTCTGTTAATTTTCCAAAGCTGCCTTTTTTTTTTTTTACTGGCAGTTAGATGGCCCACTTAACAGTTGTCACATACCAATGCTCTCTGCCCTGTAATAAGGCTGTGGCCACAGTGTGCCCAGTGGCGGCCAGGGTTTAGCCCTGGGTCATCTCCCAGCCCCTTTCCCCATCGCAGGCCTGCCACTCTGGCTGCCCTGTCCAGTTCCGAAGCCTCCGCTCTCAGTGCAAAGTGGACTTTACAAGTGATGAGGCTGTACACTAGCTGGTTTTATGCAGGGTAACGAGATCACACTCATGGTTTTGGATGTGGGAGATGGGCTTGGGGGGCCAGGGAGAATGGGGAGAGGAAAATCCCAAGAGCTGCATGGAGAAATGATGACAATACAGGAGGGAGAAGAAAGAACAGAAGACAGAAGCAACAGAACTTGGGGACTACGTGACTATGAGATGAAAGGGAGAGAATTACTTGCAGGTGCCCGGCGTGGGAGACCAGGCCAGGTCGTGAGTGCGGAAGGGAGCCGGTGGGACAGCACACACATCCTCCCCTCACCCAGGAGAGGAAGCAAGAGCGGGGTGACGGGTAGGCGTGGGGGCAGAGAATGTTCATCAGAGACATGCTGAGTTTCATGTTTTTACGCAACATCTGGTTGGCAACAACCCCTACAGGGAAGCAATGGCCAGCATGGCCTGGACATCAGGGGAAACAGAGCTGCCAGGTCATCAGGCCAAGCCTTGGGGAAGAATGAAATCTCCTCCAGTGTTTTGCAGTCCCTAAGTCCACACTAACTCGGATCAAACTGGCGAGGTCTCCCTTTTCTTAAAATATGGGCTGGTTGGGCAGCCTCTTCAAAATAACAGCAGTTCCTGGCGTGTCCACCGAAGCCTTTCTACATCTCAGACCCACAGCAGTCTCCCCAGCGCAGGCGCCCTTCACTCACCAGCTGGATCTCTACGGCGGTCACAGGCCTGTGGTTCAGCAGCTGGAGCTTCTCAGCTCTGTGGAGGGAAAGTACAGCATTGAGAACTTGCATAGCCCTAAGTCTTGAGTCCTGATTGAGCTGCACAGAGAATACTTTCTCAGATAAAAAATGGAAGAACCACTAGAGCGTGGACTCATTTCCTTCAACTGTAAACTGAGAACAGGAATAGGAGCATGTTTGTGAGTGCCTCCCAGCCCACAGTACAAATGGGTATCAGAGGCATGATTGTAGGAAACAAAGCAACAGTGCAGGTGCCATTTATTTATTTATTTTGAGGTGGAGTTTCACTCTTGTTGCCCAGGCTGGAGTGCAATGGCATGATCTTAGCTCACTGCAACCTTCACTTCCCAGGTTCAAGCAATTATCCTGCCTCAGCCTCCCAAGTAGCTGGGATTACAGGCACCTGCCACCATGCCTGGCAAGTATTTTGTGTTTTTAGTAGAGATGGAGTTTCACCATGTTGGCCAGGCTGGTCTTAAACTTCTGACCTCAGGTGATCCACCCGCCTCTGCCCCCCAAAGTTTTCGGATTATAGGCACAGGTGGCATTTTAAAAACATGACGGGGCTGGGTGCAGTGGCTCATGCCTGTAATCCCAGCGCTTTGAGAGGCGGGGGCGGTGGATCACCTGAGGTCAGGAGTTCGAGACCAGGCTGGTCAACATGGTGAAACCTCGTCTCTACGAAAAATACAAAAAGTGGCCAAGCATGGTGGCATGCACCTGTAATCCCAACTACTCGGGAGGCTGAGATAGGAGAATTGCTTGAACCTGGGAGGCGGAGCTTGTGGTGAGCTGAGATAGCACCACTGCACTCCAGCCTGGGCAACACAGTGAGACTCCATCTCAAAAAAAAAAAAAAACCAAAACCAAAAAAAAAAAAAACAGGATAGTAATTTCTAACTGAAAAATGTGAAGAAAATAATGCTTTCTTCACGTCTATAATCCCAGCACTTTGGGAGGCCAAGGAGGGTGGATCATAAGGTCAGGAGTTTGAGACCAGCCTGACCAACATGATGAAACCCAGTCTTTACTAAAAGTATAAAAATTAGCCGGGCATGGTGGCATGCGCCTGTAGTCCCAGCTACTCAGGAGGCTGAGGCAGGAGAATTGCTTGAACCCAGGAAGTGGAGGATGGAGTGACCTGAATGGCGCTACTGCACTCCAGCCTGGGCGACATTGTGAGACTCTGTCTCAAAAACAAACGCCTTACAAAATAATTAAAATAAATTCACTGGGCATGGTGGGTACTTGCCCAGCTACGAAAGGCAAGTACGAGAGGGCAGGGCAGGAGGGTCACTTTAGCCTAGGAGTTGGTGGCTGCAGTGAGCTATGATTGCACCACTGCACTGCAGCCTTAGTGACAGAGCAAAACCCCATCTCTAAAACTAAAAAATTAAAACACACAAAATCATCTTGTTTGGCCATCTCTTAGAAACAGGTGAATTTCGTTTTGAGATTTAATGTTTCCCAGATTTGACCTATTATCTTAATAAACAAAACAGGGACTAAAAGAGTCAGGTGTTAATACACAGAAATACAAGGTACAGTCCCTCTGCCCTGAAAGCACTTAACAACCGAGCTGGAGAAAGAAGACAAATACATGCAAATTTTCATGACAAAAGATCCGAGTGACAGTTAGATATAGTGATCCTCTGCCTCAAAGAAATACACAGCTCATTGCTGAAAGGGTGGCTGAAACACGTGGACCCTGAAAGACTACAGAACTTCAGAGATGAAAGGACTGCAGTGGCCGTCCCTGTGCAGGTGACAGCTTCTACATTTTGCCTTCAACGTGACTCTGGAGCTGCAGATCCATCTTTCAAATCGGCTCAGTAAGTACTTTTTGAGTTAAAGACCTTCTGGAGTGAAAACACAAAGAGCCACAACTCCCGCAGTGATGAGTTTGGAGGAAAAAGTACAATTACCCACTCTCCCTAAGCCTCAGTTTCCCCATCTGTAAAACAGGAATAACAACAGCACTTCCTGTCTTATGAGAGGATTGAGAGATGAAAATCTTTCCAGAGGCCACACCTACCATTTATTGCTTGCTTTCCATGTGGTAAGTACATTTAATCCTCAGATTTCACTGACATGGAGATAGTAAATAATTTGTCCACAGTTGCAAAGCCAGTAAATGGCGTAAAAAAGCTCCTTGTTCTTGGCCATCTGCTTCTAGTGTACATGTGATAATGGATGCCATCTGTCCCACAACAGTTTCTCCATAAATGGCAGTCATTATTAGAGCTGTTCAAATTCTAGTGCTTATAACCCCCCAAACATTTACTCTAGACTCAAAAAGGGAGATTCCACAGAAATGACCCTTGCACTATGCCCTGATGGCTTTTCAACTCAAAGGGATGAGAGGGACAGACAGTCAGGGCAGAAACACACAAGAACATGTCCAGAGGAAGAAAGCCCCCAGAATTTGGGGTGGGACATGGGGTGAAAGAGTCATCTGGGACAAGATTGAAAACACCCCTGACTATCAAGAGGCTGGGTGTGACCTGGTCAATACCGGAGAGCAACCAAGGAAGAGGGGCATGTGCTCCAGCTGGCTCCAGCTGGTGCCGGCAGTGATTCTGGAAGACCCAAGAAAATGGAGGCAGACAGTGACACATGCACTGTAACACCCTCCGGTGAGCCAGAGGCAGACAGTGACTAGTGCACTGTAACACCCCCCGGTGAGCCAGAGCGAGGTTATGAAGCTGGCCAGCAGCGGCACACATGCCAATAAGCATCTAAATACAGTCACCCTCACGTAAAGTCAACAGGACCCGACAACTGCCTATATTGGGTTGGGCGGGGGAGGAGGAGGAAAGGAACAGATAGAGTCAAGGTTAGGTTGTTTAGAAAAAAACACATTATTTAACATGGAATCTGAGCTTGTAGTACCTTTATAACTCTGGAGGTTTCTGTGAAAAAGTGCGTCTAGTCTGAGGTCTGATTTGGTCTAAAACTAAAGGAAAAAAAAAGCACTAGATTTATTTGCAAGGAGTTACGTGAAACCACAAGGGGATATTATGGTCCAGAGACCAACTGTGGAGTGAGTGAAGACCAGACACCATGTGCCTCCGTTTAAGGAGCCAAGAAAAGCCAGGCATGGTGGCTCACCCCATTTACCCTACTGTGATTATTGCACATTGTATGTCTATATTGAAATATTCCATACACCCCCAAATATATACACCTATCATGTACCCAGAAAAATTTAAAAAAAAATCCATTCCCTCATGCCACATGACCTGAGCTCCACACATCTGTAGACGACTGCCTTCTAGGTATCTCTGCCTTGACATCTCTGACAGGCCATGAACCCAACACATCCCAGAGTGACCCAACAGCCTTCCCAACAAACCAGCTCTTCCCTCTGTACTTCTCTTCTTGGCGGAGTGCCAGGCACCCAGGTAAAAAATCCGAGGGTCTTCCCTGATTTCTCCCTCACCCACTACAAACATTCAGTCACCACGTATGAATTATTACATTTCTTTCAGGATATCTAGGCCAGGCGCGGTGCCTCATGCTCATAATCCCAGCACTTTGGGAGGCCAAGGCAGGCGGATCACAAGGTCAGGAGTTTAAGACCAGCCTGGCTAGCAGCCATGTAATCCCAGCACTTTGGGAGGCCGAGGCAGGTGGATCACGAGGTCAGGGGATTGAGACCATCCTGGTCAACATGGTGAAACCCCGTCTCTACTAAAAATACAAAAAATTAGCTGGGCATGGTGGCACATGCCTGTAGTCCCAGCTACTCAGGAGGCTGAGGCAAGAGAATTGCTTGAACCCAGGAGGCGGAGGTTGCGGTGAGCCGAGATGGCACCATTGCACTCCAGCCTGGGTAACAAGAGCGAAACACCATCTCAAAAAAAAAAAAAAGACCAGCCTGGCTAAAAAATACAAAAATTAGCTAGGCATGGTGGCTCGTGCCTGTAATCACAGCTACTTGGGAGGCTGAGGTAGGAGAATTGTTTGAACCAGGACACGGGAGGTGGAGGTTGCAGTGAGCCGAGATGGCACCATTGCACTCCAGCCTGGGTAACAAGAGCGAAACACCATCTCAAAAAAAAAAAAAGACCAGCCTGGCTAAAAAATACAAAAATTAGCTAGGCATGGTGGCTCGTGCCTGTAATCACAGCTACTTGGGAGGGGCTGAGGTAGGAGAATTGTTTGAACCACGACACAGGAGGCAGAGGTTGCAGTGAGCCAGGATTACACCACTGCACTCCAGCCTGGGCTGTAGAGCAGGACTCCACCTCAAAAACAAAAAAAAAAAACCAGAAACACGGTCATCTCATTATCCTGCTTGTAATCTTCCCACTGTCCTCACAGGTTTTGGTCTGAACTTGAGTTTCCTTAGTTCAGCGCCCAGAACCCTCTGAAATCTGGTCTTTGTCAGTCTCTATAGCTTTGTATGGCCCTACACTGCACTCACATCCCAACTGACCCAAACTGCAAACACCCCACAGAAAAGTACAGGGCTGCTTCCCGATCCCATGCTTACTTGGCACACTGTCTTCTGACACATCAGTGTCTCTCCACTGTGTCCCTCCCATAGCACTTCCGCTGTGGTCATCTTTGTAGCCCCAACAACTGAGACAAAGTGGCCATGAGGTAAATGGAATCTGAAGTATACGTAAGAGAAAGAGCTAGGGAAGCCCCGACTCACAGAAGTCCATGGAAGAGAAAGGGGAAAACTCCGCAGAGATATAGGCAGGACTCCAAGCTCTGAAAGCAGCCAGGGTGCCCGGACTCCAGCCACTAGGGAAACCGACAACTCATCCGTCAACTCTGAGCTTTGCTGCTCCCAGAGGAACACGTTCCAAATATGCTATCAACTCCCAAGAATAATCTGTGCCCAGAAGAGTCCCTTTTAGGAATGCAAAGTTATTTACAAACCTATCTAAGCTAGGTCTTGAAGGCAAGTCCTCTTCTTCTATTCCCGGCAGACCTAGCTCTAACCCTAAGGCAGAGCTGTATACCTCAGAGAGGAGCTGTCAGGATGAGAGCTGGGGCTACAAG